AGGCGTTAACCCTGAAAGCCGTGCCGGATAATTGTGCAGACACCGCAAGGGGGTGAGGAGCCGCACAAGCTGGACGAGCCGTGCGCGCCCAGTGGGCACGCGAGGGTGGCGGAGTGAAATCTGAGCAGCTCGTTTCCGTCGGCGGCGCACCTAGGGTTTCTCTTGGCGGAGTTGTTGCTGATGCTGGCGCGTGCTTTCACGGAGTCTCTGTAGTCCTCGAACCGTTGGATCTTGCGGTGGGTGTTGTGGACCTTTAGTATCCGTTCGATCTGACACACTAGATTGTCCTTTTTAAGCCAGCTGGACTTGAAAATTATTTCAACTATGTCGCGGCTTGAATCCTCTGGCCCTAGTTCAGACACTGTAAAACAAAAGACAATTAACAACAACTATTATTTATTAATAAACAGTTATTCTATTAAATGCCTGGTCTATTGACTATGTATGAAAATTGGAACGAAATTTTCAATTTCGAGAAAATCGAAAAATTTCAATTTTGGAAAAACAAATTCATTTCGAATTCTAAAAGATCCGATTTCCGATCTAATTTTATTTCTAAAATGATGATTTTCCGAAAATTTCGAATTACATTACGAAAATTACACTTGCAAGTTGCAATGTCAATATCATATACTATATTTTTTATGTTATAGGTGATCGACTAAAAATGGAACTTCCGGATTCCACTAGTTCATATAAAAAAATTCCGATTTTGAAACAAGTTTACACATTCCAGTTTTCGAAATTCCAATTCTCGACTTCTTTTTAACGAAATTGGAATTAGTTAGTTTTTCATTTCGAAAAAAAAAAAGTTAGATTTTTCTCCAAAGTATCAATTCTGATCGGATCTGTCCGATTTACACACCTACCATTGATGCAAACCACTATTTTACACATATCCACGTGTCAGTATGTGTGTGATTGTGTGAAAATTTGTGGAGCCAAATTATTTAATATAAAGCAATTGGGAATATAGAAAAGGCCGTACGTGCATGAGTAATTATATAATATATCTTGATGATAATTGATATATGGGGGTCCTTAAAATGGAAAATGGGGTTGAATTTGTACATGTAGGATACTTCCAATTAATGAAGTCCCTGGTCCATTACTTGAAAATGAAATTGCAGTGCACACAGTCAGCAAATCTCGTGCTCTCTAATTTCAAGAACCCCAACTCTTTGTTTCTTGGGATCGAGTTCATGCATCAACAAGTGTATGTATACAAAGACATGTATCTATATTATTTTGAATCTTTCTACTGTCAGTTCATTTCATTGTTAATTAGAAAATATAATCGAAGTAAATAAAATACCTGCATGCATAATTGCTTGATGATGTTCCAGGATTTCGATTTCTGGGAAAACCTCTCCGCATTCAGAACAACGATTTAAACTTGTAATTGGGATTAATGGATACCTACGTGATTTAATAATATCCACTTTAATTTAAGTTAACAAGGTGTATAATTTGATTATATATATAAAAAAATTATATGTATGGTTAGTAGTTACCTGGCTGGATCGACTACGGCGTGGCATTCGTAGCAACCGGAGAGCTTTCTGAACTGCAAGCCCCGACCGGAACTGGATCTCACCGACAGTGAAGAAGACGACCCGTAGCTAGTTTTGTGGCTGAGCAGCCTAGTTTCTTGCCCCGCAGAGGCGGGAGTACGGCAATTCTCCGGCGACTTATCGGCTCGATTTACGACCCTTGAGTTGCCATGAGCCGCGTCCTTTCTTAACCTGGAAAGTTTGCTGCAGACAATATTGGCCCGTTGAGGAACGACGTCTTTTGATGAGGGATGTATAGTGTGATGGGATTGGGAATCCTGATCAATGTGTTTGCAGATCAGCATGTTCTTGATCTGGTCCCATGAAGACGGTTGTTTCGTTTGCCACTTTACCTTTTTGCCCTTGGGATTCGTTTTTTTCGGATAATCATGTGAAGGGTTTGCTACCATTGCGTGTATCAGTGTCATGAAAGTTAGTGTTTGTACTATGGTGTGTGTGTGTGTGTGTGTGTGTGTGTGAGAGAGAGAGAGAGAGAGAGAGAGAGAGAGAGAGAGAGAGAGAGAGAGAGTTACTTGCTTAGAACTTTTGTAAGTGAGAAAAAAGAGAAATGAAGAACTTATAAGTTGTTACATACAATAATATAATATTGATCTGACTTATTATATAGTCATCGTTTTGATCACATGAACTTACACATTTGTTGTTATCTGCGGGCAATAGTCTAGTTCAATTATAGTTCTGCCCTGCAACCACATGCATTGTGATAAACAAAATAAATAAATAAAAATATCAGAGTTATGTTTGAGATTTTTTTTTATTTGTATGTGTAACGTGGGATGTATGTTTGCTACTTTGGAGTTATTCTCAATCTCCTTGTAATTTGTGGAAAATCTGCATCCAGAAAATGACTGTTCCTTACATGATGGGTCCAATTGCACTAGCAACCTTCATTATTTAAAGGCTCCAAATTAACTCCACATAATTAATTATAAATTTCCAAATCCACGTCATTTATAATCTTAAATCTTAATGCATAATAATTATCATCAAATTATTATCAAGTATCAATTGGCAGTGACATTTAGATTTGAATGTCCTGTGTACAACCAACATGTTTTAACTTATTGTCAGTCACTAAGACTAAGTTAATTATGTATTACAGGAATTAATTTGGTAGCACAAATAAAACAAGGGTACAAAATCACACTGATTGTTTATGTATTCATACTCTGATGAGACCTGCATTAAATACAGAAATGCATAGTTACAAAACATTCCATCAGGCCTTCATTTCAATAACTGTGCGTAGCCAAGTCAGATTTTGGTCGGGCCATTTTAGGTGTATAAATTAAAAAATTAAAAAAAATCACTGCGTTATGACAGAACATTGAAAATTGAAAGAAATAGACAAATCATTCAAGTTGCAAATTTCCTGTGCAGTTATCGTCAATTTTCACATACCACATCAAAGAAGTGCCCAAGTGTGTTTCTAGAACAATTGAGGACAGTAAAATCGGAATCAATATTTGTTAGCAAGAAGAAAATCACTGTATAGTAAGTAGCATCAGTAGTATATTCTAGAACTTTGTCGATTTTCACCCACTGCGTAAAAAATGCACGTGGGAACACAAACTCTCAGCGAATAGATGCTGCTCGTGTTTTCCTAGACCTAGCTCTAGTCAGTCTTCCGGATTCTTCCATGGCGGTATCCTGTGGAGCAGTCTCGTTTGCAGAATCAATCTGCTGCTCTTGAGTAGAGTTCGAAGCTTTGGTGTTCTCAAGAAGAGCTTGTTTTATTGTTATTTTTGGTTCTTTCGGAACTGCTGGAGAAACGGCTGCCTTAGAATCGACTGAAGTGTCTGCTTCGTCTGATGTTGCATCTTCTTGGTGTTCGCTTGAAGATGTACTGGAAGAAGAAGAAGACGAAGAGGGTTCTTCATCCTGTGGCTGCACCATGGCAGCAGCTGGTATAGGATTTGATGGTGCTGCGGGTTTCTTGACCTTAGTGCTTTGATTTTGTGGCTGCAACATGATCAGAAATCTTTAATGACGAATAAATTTTTGTAAAATGCATCAAACAAGAGGCAATTACTGAAAGATTCAACTATGGAGATATAACGCAAGATAATTGAACTTCAACGGAAAAGTAAGGTTAAGTTTGAATGAAAAAAAAAAAGGAAAATCTTCATTTCATCATTCAGCCAACCACAGCAAATTGGAAATGTAATGGCAAAGAGTCATTTCAGAGCTTATAAGTTTATTTAACTAAAATGATCCCCCTTATCCATGTGTTGGTACATATACGAAAGAACTGCATGGCATAAAACTGAAGTGTATGCCTATCAACAAGAGAAATATAATATGCTGCATGTCATGTTTTCGAAGGACCACTACATTCGAATGCTAAATGGCTACATTATCCAGTAGAAGGCAACATCATTACATAATTGTAACTATTGCGAAATCTACTGTTACATACGGATAGTGTGCTTGAATGCATGATACACTAGTTTTTTCAAGATTCATGGCAATACATACCTGAGTTGGTGGTTTAGGTTTGGGGATTGATTGTGAAGCAACATACTGCAAAATGTCAAAAAACCTAGTCTGGACATAGCTTGCAGACTTTTGCCAGTACAAGAGCGCTATGTCTGCAGCTCTTGTTCTCAGTTCCAACAAATTACGGTCAATTTCTGGCTCATGCTTTGCAACATAGGGCCTAAAGAAGGAGTCGTAAACATATGCCGTTCCCTGAAACCAATTTAGTACAGAAAAAATATAACTAGAGTTGAGAAAAAAGGATATGGTTAATCAAATCCACAGTGATATGTAAATTATATTGCACACCTTAGTTTTAGGGAACCATAAGTATATAAAGAAGGCCAGCTTAGCTTCACCGTACATTGGAATCCTTCAAGACATACACAGGAAAGACATCAAAAAAGTTCTCCAGAGGAAAAATAGTAAGTGTTCAAGAAATGAAATATTTACCAGCCAATACACATATCACCAATCCTTTCACAAACCGTCAACATAGCCACTAAGATCCTGCAAGTTAAAGATGAAATTACTCCTGAAAACTTGCAGTTAAAGCATCTCGCGATAATTCAAGTACGTAGCTCTTACCAGTATTGGCACCAAAACCGAAGTAGCTCAATGTCGGGCTTATTCAGTTCAACGGATTTATAGCATTCGTATGCTGGATATGCATAACCAAAAATCAAACTGCAAGAAAGGATAAAAATAATAAGTAGTTTGGCATGAAAATTAGGGGAACTAAAAGATTTTTCATAGACTATAATCTGGATGAGTCACATACACAAGTCCCCTAGTGAAAAAAGATCCGATCATTTTGACACCCTGCCACAAAGAATAAAACATATGTTAGGTCAAGTTCAGCAGTTTAACGAATCGGACAATGTCGAAAGTAAACTGAGCACACGATTTATTTACAAATGCCGAACTTAAACATGCATTCTCTGTTTCTCCATTATCCCTTTGAAAAACTGCTTTCTGTTTCCAACACTTAACAGTTCAATTAGACTACCTTAGGTTCTTTTGTCTGCCTAGTAAATTACAAATAAAATATTCACTAGCAACCATATCTAATTTAAACATGTTGTAACATATAAATCCATTACATAAACATAGCAAAACAGTAAAGAATTCATGCATAAGTTTCCCTTCATTTTATGTTTCTTCTCACTTTAGTCAGTGAAACCCAAGATCCAAAAAGAAATATTACTGGAATTTTCAAATTGAAGACGTCTATTTCTCGTCTACCTTGATCCATCAAACGACTCAAAATGCAGAAATTATGATCACTAAGGTTGGAAACTGTATTTACGTTGGTTGGGGCTGCCAATGTAGCAAATATACAACAATAGAATGGTTAGAACTCTCTACTTCGCTAATTTCACTTTTGATATGCAAATTGCATGAACCAACACGATCCAGATCTCGCAGAAGAAACAAATATAAAACGAACCAGGAAATCTGGAGGCCAATATTTGTACCTTCGCAGTGAACATTAAATATGCTAAAATCTGAAGGAAAAGAAAAATGCGGCAGCACCAAACCCCTAAAACCGCAATTAAAGAAATAACACCATGCTGTTCTTCAATTATTAACGAATTACGCAAAGAAAAAACGTCTGCGGAGATGTCTCGGAGAACACAACCAAAATAGATTTCTCGAAGAACACAACCAAAATACATAAATTAAAGGTAAAAGGAAACAATGTAAATGTAATTGAGAATGTAATTGAAGATGAGGATTCCGAAACTCATAATCTCAGTGTACCTGTACAAACGCAATACTCCACGGGAGAAGATTAGGAAATAACCGTTGGTTGAGGGCAGCGAAGAGGTGTAGCGATTACTAATGAACTATCGTATCTCAGAGATTCGCGAAAGTACTGCGGCCACACGGACAAGCGGCGCCGCTTCGGAACGACGGCGAACCGTTAGGTAGCCGGCGGGGGAGATGGGAGTTAAAGCAACATGGCCACCAAATTTTGCCTGCTTCCTTTGAATTG